AATGTTTAGATTGGCTCTTGACCAAACTCAGCTCATCCTAAGGTGGAGACAAGGCTTGTGGTATTTATCTTCCCGGGAGAAGGTATAACATGGCGTTTATAGGCATGACTCCAGAACCATGCTAGAAGGTGCCCAGGGATGTAAACTACACTCTGCAAAGCTGGGGGCGGTGGTGTTCTGGGGTCCAAGTGGTAGGTGCTGGCTCTCCCTACCCTGGTTTCCTATGGAGTATGTAGGGCAGGCAGCTTTCTTATAAAAGACTCTGGAGTGGCTCCATGTCCTGTGTGCTGCTTGTTCCGACTCCAGCATGGCAGAACTGGATGGTGAGAGCAGCAGAGACACACCCTGTCTGATAACAAGCACGGGGCCCCAGAATTTGATCACACTGTTTGCCTGGTTGCTGTCCTGCATGTGTAGCCAGTCTGTGCTTGGAGCTGCAGTATCTCCTGTGATCTTGAGCAAACTGATTACAGCTTCCCAAACCACCTCTGTAAGGAAAGTATGCAGCTCATGTCTTGGTTTAAACCTTTAAAAATCTGCAAATAAACCAGGCATGGTGGTGCATCCCTTTAATCCCAGCACCTGAAGGCAGAGGCAGGTGGAGCTCTGTGAGTTTAAGGTTAGCTTAATGAGTTCTAGGGCAGTCAGCTGGTGAGACCCTGCCTCAAAAAATAAGTCAAAATAAGTTTTAAAAAAATCTTAAACACACTTAGTGTCAGAGCTGATGGCCATTTAAAAAATGGCAAGTTCATCAAACGCGGAGGAGAGGGACGGAAAGACGGCTCAGCAAAAGAACACCGCTGTTCTTCTGAAAGACCTGAGTTTGATTCCTAGCACCCTCACGGGCAGCTCACAACCACCTGTAACTTCAGCTGTAGGGTTCCTAATACCTTTGGTGAGACCTGCAAGGGCGCCTACAGTCATGTGCACATGTGCATGATTAAAACTGATAAAAAATGAATCTCAAAACACAGGGTGTAAATAAAACTTGTGAGGCAGTATCGGGTTAAGACTGCTCTGGTAAATATCATTTACTTCTTGAGGGAAGTTGCTACCTTTTCTTGATCTTCATCTGTGTGTGTGTGTGTGTGTGTGTGTGTGTGTGTGTGAGAGAGAGAGAGAGAGAGAGAGAGTGTGTGTGTGTGTGTGTGAGAGAGAGAGAGAGAGAGAGAGAGAGAGAGAGAGAGAGAGAGAGAGAGAGAGAGAGAGAGAGAGAGAGAGAGAGAGAGAGAGAGAGAGAGAGAGTGTGTGTGTGTGTGGACTACCTCAGTCTGGTTCCTCACACACCTGTGTTTTGAGACAGTCTCTCACTGACTCAGAGCTCACCCACTAGGCTGGCCGGCCAGTGAACCCCGGGATCTGCCCCTCACCACCTCAGCAGCACTGGGATTATAAGCACACTTTACCACACCTCACTCCCCCCTCCTCACGCCCCCTGCCACCCCATGGGTCCCGGAGATTGACTCAGGCCCTCTGATGTCTTCAGCAAGAATTTACCTACTCAGTTATCTCCTCAGTCCTCACCAAGCCTCCCATCCACTCTCAGAGAGGGTAAAGCCTTCCCTAGGATGTCAACTAAGTCTGTCCCATCACCTCTTTGAGGTGCCCCCCACCCCCTCATGTCTATGCTGAGCAAGGTATCTCTCCATAGAGAATGGGCTCCACAAAGTCAGTTTGTGCATTAGAGTTAGATCTTGGTCCCACTGCCAGTGGCCTCATATACTGCCCAAGCCACACCATTATCACCCGTATTCAGGGGTCCTAGTTCAGTCCTGTGCCAGTCCCCCAGTTGACAGTATGGACTCAGGGATCTCTCACTAGCTCAGGTCAGCTGACTCTGTGGTTTCCCCATCATGGTCTTGACTCCCTTGTTCATATTATCGCTCCTCCCTCACTTCGACTGTACTCCGGGAGGTCGGTCCAATGGTTATAGATCTCCGCATCTGCTTCCACCAATTTCTGGAAGAGAGATCTAACTTCTCTGGGGTTGTGGGTTGTAGGCCCTCAGCAAACCTTTCTGGAGGGTGTAATTGTTTAGCTGTTGTTTGACTTCTATTTCTCCATCTTTTTTTTCTTCATAGAGTCAGTTTATTATAGCATTATTTATACTTATAAAAGCTACATAATTGCCTGGGAACAAGTAAAAGCTCACGCTTGTCAGAGGAATTTAGCAATATAAGGGATAGTAAATGTTCCTGTTGGATTGAACAGTTTTGCAAAAGTATATCCTTAAGGGAGAATAGCTACATATCAGGACTTGGTATTGTCTTCATCATTGTCTTAAAAATTTATTGTACATATCAACCCCAGTTTCTCCTCTCGTTCCCTCCCTCCAAATCCACTCCTCCTGTCTCCACTTAGATGGGGTAAGGCCTCCCATGGGAATCAACAGAGCATAGCACATCAAGTTGAGGCAGGACCAAGCTCCTCCCCCTGCATCAAGGCTGACCAAGGCATCTCACCTTAGGGAATAGATTCCAAAGAGCCAGCATCAGGAACAGGTCCAGGTCCTACTGCTAGGGATCCCACAAAAGACCAAGCAACACACACAACTGCCACCCAGATGCAGAGGGCCTAGGCTGGTCCCTTGCTGGTTCCCTAGCTGTCTGTCCGGAGTCTGAGCTCCCACAAGCTCAGGTCAGCTGTCTCTGTGGGTTTCCCCATCACAACCTCCCATTGCTCATACAATCCTTCCATCTTCTCTTCAGCTGGACTCCCAGAGTCCAGTGCTTGGCTGTGGATCTCGGCATCTGCTTCTACCAGGTACTGGATGAAGGGTTTATGATAACTAGAGCAGTCACCAATCTGATTATAGGGTAAGGCCAGTTCAGGCACCCTCTCCACTATTGCTAAAAGTCTTATCTGGGTCATCCTTGTGGGTTCCCAGGAGACTCCCTGGCACCAGGTTTCTCCTTAACCCCACAATGATCCCCTCTATCAAGCTATCTCCCCCATCACTCTCCCGCTGCCCCCAACTGGACTGTTCTGATCCCTCATGTTTCCATTCCCCCATCCTCTCCCCTCTCCACCCCCAGTTTACCCCGGACATCCCATCTGCTTCCTCTTCCCAGAGAGATCATGCATCCCTCTTAGGGTCCTCCTCGTTACCTAGCGTTTCTTATACTGGTTCCATAGGATGGATCTGCTGACAGAAGTGCTTAGAGTTACGTATGAGTCACCCAGAAAAAACTACAGAATTGGCCTAATAGATGCAAAGAGACATATGTGTGTCATATGTGTGTGGCAGCAGAGCTCCCGGCTCCAACACTGCCAGGAAAGATTCCACACAGCTGATGGGCTTTCCTCTCAGAAATGCTTGTTGTCTTTCCACCAAGAGAGGCATTTAACAAAACACACTCAAGCCAGTAAAACCTTACATTGCGTTGTGTTTATTTCACTGAAAACCTGAAGACCGCACCCCAAAGGAGCCTGCAGACAGGGTGGGCACTGTCCCTGCCCGATATGTACATTCACAGTTGTGACGCGCGGACTAAGGTTACTAGCAAGAGTAATCGGGAGAATGAACATCCGTCCCAGGTCTGCTCGGGATCTCCTCAACATGCCCAGTGGCATTCCACAGGAATCCTTCACTTGCAGACAGTGGGGCAGAGCCCCAGCCTCGGGACATCTTAGTTCATTAGTCTCCTTCATTGGCCTTTTAGTGGCTTTTCTCTTCTGAAAAGTTATACTCTATAATTATAAAAACCAACCCGTTGGCTACAAAGGCTGTGTTCACATTTCATTCAAACCTAGCAAGCTAAGAGCCCAGGAATCAAGTTCCCTGCCCACCCTTCGGCAGTGTGGCGCTATGTGGCTGAGGTTGAGGCGTTCTGTTCATGTATTTCTCTTGGGGAAGCATACACTAACTTTCTGTGAGAAAGTAAACACCTGTTCCTGCATCTACCAGCCTGGTGGTGGTCATTTTCTATAGCAATGCCCCAAATGTAAAATCTAATTTAGGAGTAAAAAACAAAATTCCAAAGCAACCACTGCTTATGAAACAAACTAAACCTATGGTCACTGTTGTGCTTTAGGAGGAGTTTGTCATAAAAAAAAAATCATGAAACCAGGCAATGCCAAAGGTGACAGCCTGGACCCTGTTCCTTCCTGACTTCATGGGGGCCACGCACAGCAGCTGTCCCCGCAGCTGTCCCCCCCAACAGAAGAAGGCCACCTGTGCTCAGAGGGTGACTGCTTTTCCTGTCACCATGGTAACTGGTGCAGAGGAGATGGTGGTGGGCTTTGGACAGAACCTCGTGGCCCATCTCAGTATCCGCTCTGAGAGCTCGAATGACATCATAGAGACGAGGACGCCTTCCAGTTCCTTCCCTCTGCCGATTCTTTTCTCACGCTCAGCGCTTTCGCCAGTTACACGAAGTAGATTTTGTTATATCGAGACCGAAACACCAAACTGGCAATGCTTCTAAAACAAGATGGGGATTCAGGAAAGCGTAGGCAAAGCAGAAGAAGATCCTGGGGACAGTCTTTGTGGTTAAATGTCCCATGGACCTAAATGAGGAGGAGGGCAGAGAGAGCTTTAAACTGTGGCCACCGGAGACAGCCTCCAGGTCTATCAAAAACAAGCCTGGAAATAAATATCTGTATGTTAACACGGAAAATGAAGTAGAAAACCAGCTTTCTTTTTTTTCTTTAAAAAAATGTTGAATGTTTTCCAAAGTACCCAAGTGAGGTTTATAAAATAGTCATGAGGTCCTGCATGGACACAGAAACACTTATAATCGGATAATGCCCCATCACGCTGTGAGCTGGAGACGGCGGAGGCACTGGATGAGGACAGCGTGACTGCTCCAGGACAGGTGTGGACAGCCATGTGTACAGGGTCCCCGCATGTGCACACCGTACAGACGACGAGAGAAAAGACACACAAACTCGAGACCAGCAAATCCTAGGTGAGCACACGGCCACCCATACCTGTGCCCACTCAGCCTGTGGAGTCCTGCCCCACAGGGAGGCCCCGCCCACCCGCCCACCCACCCGCCCGCCCGCCTGCCTGCCTGCCTGCCTGCGATCGGCAGGTGGGATGTGTACACAGCTTCCCTGCAAATGCCCAGCTGCGCCCTGAGACAGAAAAGAAACGTATCACAGGTCTTTTGGGCCTCGGGTCTGCGGGCATACAGACACGGCGTGAGAAGACAGGGAAACGCAGATGATGTGTTCCACAAACAGGCTCCAGACGGCTGGAGGCAGGTGGTGATGTGGGAGGGGCCTCATCCCGCCAGGGTCTTCCATTCTAGTCCACTTTCTTACAAAAATTCTTTCTCCCAAAGTCTGAGTTTTCAGGGCTGAAGTCAATGCAGAAGCCATTGGGAGTTGCTGCTGGGGGTGTCTGTGCACAGTTGTCGAAATGTGTCTGGTCAGGGTACAAATAGTCCTCCGCGAAGTCAGGGTACATTTCTGCAAACCTACAGAAATCATCTGCAAAGACAAGGAAGTCAATTATTGGGACAGAGAGAGCCCCCCAGAAAGGTGACTTTTGTAAGAGACGCCATCACCCCAACACGGGTGCGATCACTGGGAATTCCTCAGGCCAGGGACTGAGGATAGGGCATGACTGGAGACAAAGGCTGTGGGTGCTAACATCACAGCTGAAGCCTCCAGGAGAGCATCTCCAACAGGGCTGGGGTGGGTGCCCCCCACCAAGGGTGCCCAGGTCAGAAGCTCCTGCAGCTGCTGCCTGGTGTGGACTTTAAGCTTGCTTCTAAATCATGGGGAGAAACTGGACCCAGGAACATTCTGGTTTCAGAAGAACCTTCTTTAGGGGATCCGATGCTACGTGAGGAAAGGGGGTAGCTTGGTGTGTGGAGACAGGGCAGGGGCTCCGTTCGTAATCTCAGAACTCCTGACGCTATGGTTCCTTGCATACCTGGGCTGGAGCACCCGCCACACCCTACCCCTGCTTGAGGGTGACCCTACTCTGCTCTACTTACCAAACGTGATTCTTCCCTTCTCCTGTTGGTCAATAGCCTGGAACAAGTCAGTCACTGTTAATTCTGACACACCCAGCGCAGTCTTGAGGATGCAGGACAGGCTGGTCTCGTCTATGCTGCTGTCCTCAGGTGATCCATACATCTGCAAGGGACAGTAGAGAGTTACTCTGGTGACCCTCATTCTGGTGTTGGCCAGGCCTGGTTCATTTTCCCCGTTGGTTCTGATGCCACCTTGTCAAAACAACAGGTGGTGCCTACAAGTACATGGTTAGGTCCCCGGCAGCCATGCCCCTGTCTCCACTGGCCTCTGCAGGTCCCTTATGGACACTGCACAAACACGTCTTGGTTGAGACCTGGATGCTGTAACAACTCTGGGAGAAAGCAACAAGCAGAGGGAGATGGAGCAGAGACTCAGCTCCGGCAGGGAGTAGCAGAAAGGCTAAGTGCGCCAGGGTAAAGCTGGGGCTGCAGGGCTCTTGCAGCAAGAACCAGGCAAGCAGAAGAGTGTGCCTCCTGTGCCACCTAGTGGCCAAAGGATAAACTGTAGCATCTTCGGGTGACCAAGGGCACAATGTACAGAGGTTGTGAAGCTGTGGTTTTGAAGAACACCAGGACTGAAAGTCGACACACATTTCTATTCAGAAAACCACACGGTATGGGAAAATAGACTACTAGGTGTCCCCCAAAAACCCTATGTGCAAGTTTTTCTACAGGAGTGACACTAACATGGAAAACAAGAAGGGATCCCAAAAGGGCGGGAACATGTATTTGGTTTCACCTCCCGGAGCATCTAGGAGTATATACATGTTCTTGGGTCTTACTCATGGTCACAAAGCTGTTTTACACCTTGCTATTTGAGCCTACCTGTGGTGTGAGGAAGGCGTCTGTTTCCTTACACCCCCATCCCAGAGTGCTGCAGAGCTGCCCAAGGAGCCTAATGAACTCATTTCCTTTGCAAAGCTGGACTTGCTAGAATCCTTCATTGGTCTTCCCATGTTCTTCTATCTTCCCAGAAAGTCACCGAGCCTTATGACAGAACACTCCACTGACACCCTGTCACTGTCAATATTGTCGAATGTTCCCAGGGTCATTATGTCTTGGGGACAGCAGACACGGATGGTGCAGGTGGGTACTGGGGAAGTCTGAGAGGTAGCCGCTGGCCCGAGTGAGTGCAATTGGACACAGCTCTCTGGGGGGGCAGTGAACAGGTGCCTGCTATCCTATCGCAGTGGCGATGTGGCCCCAGCATGACGGCCAGGATGCTTGGCTTCCCTGCCACACTCGCTCTGCCTAGGCAGCCGTGAGAGGCTTGACCTGACTGCCGCTTGCCACTATCACCTACGACAAATTATACTTGATGACTTTAGGGTCCAAGTGGGTCTGAGCCATCTGAACAGGAGGGCCAGGCTTTTCCAAGCAGCAAGCGAGTGTTGACGCCATACAGTTAACTTTCCTGGAGTGACCCACATAAGCGACCTTGGCAACTGGGGACAGTTCCCAGCACTGCTCTGGCACGGCACACCAGATAGTAAGCAAAGAGCTTTTGGAGAATGGGAAAGACAAGGGGTCCCTGATGCCTCTAAGCATATCTGCGAGGGTGCCCTCAGAGAGTCTTGATTAAGGGAAAGAGCCACTCAGAGTGTGGGTGGCACCATTGCATCAGCTGTGGGGAGCCTCGGCATACCTCTGGCTCGGTTTTCTGGCTGCAACTGCAATGCAGCCGGCTGCCTCACACTCCTGTTGCCACGCTGGACAGCAGTCCCCCAAACGATAGACCAAAACAAATGCTTCCTCCCTTAAGCGGCCTAAGATTTGTTTTATTATTTGCGTGTGTGTACCTGAATGTACGCATATGCACCATGAACATGCAGGTACCCACAGAGGCCAGACGAAGGAATTGTGGTGTGGTTGTGAGCCCCCTGACGTGGGTGTCGGGAACTGAACTCGGGTCCTGTGCGAAAGGAGCAAGTGCTCTATCCACCTTGCCGGTCCCTCAAGTGGCTTCTTGTTAGGTATTTCGTTACGGCGACGGCAAAAGCAGTGGATACAGAAAACGGGTAACAGGAGTGCTTAGGCCTCTGTAGCTTTAAAGGGGGAGGTTTTCAATGTGGAGATGCCCGCTAGGAGATATTTCTGGGCATGCCTGTAACAGTGTTAAATGAGGGGGAGATACACCTTGGATGATATGGTAGCATCCCATAGGCTGGGGGCTCAGACGGGATAAAAGGGGGAAACCAAGAGTTCAGCTGAACATCAACACCCATCTCCTGCCTGTAACTCCAAATGCAACATGACCAACCGGGTCACAGCCAAGCCTCCTTCATGACTTCCCTCCTACGACTATGGCTCCTCAAACCACGGCCCCAGATGAACCTTTCCTCCCAGAACATGCTTCCTGCCAGGAATTTGTCACAACAATAAGAGGAATAACTAACAGATGCACAAATCCCACTCAAGGAATACACTTGCCTTGAATGCCAGCTGGATGGTGGCCAGGGTCTGGGATGGCCTGCACACCACGGACAAGGCGACCACATATTCACGAAGGTCTATCTCACTGTCACCGCTCTGCAAAAAAGAAACACATTCAGGCGATGGCTTGGTTGCCTGGACGTCACAAGGGATCTTCCAGCTAACTGGCCCATCCCAGTCTGACTTGGCAATATGTACATGTGAGGAAAGTGTCCTTTAGAAGATGACTCCCAGACACACTTGCCACCCCAGTCAACTTTCAAACGTGAAGCTTTGTCAGAAGGCAAACCAAGGCTTGCCTGCACTTACAGAACTGGCCAGTCAGTATCTTCAAGGACTCGCTCCACAGTGACAAGTCAGAGGTTTTGCCCCAAGTTCCCCAGTGGACCCACCTCATCAAACAGTGAGAACATGTCCTCCAGTGCATCTGAGACAGGAACCTCCAAGTAGGCTGCGAACTCTGCGAGCCCAATCTTCTCTCCCCTCTTCATCCTTGCACTCTCTGAATATCTGTCTAGATCTTTTTCCAGATTTTCTGGTTTCAGTCTAAAAAAAAAAGAGGGAAAGATTTATTGATAAAATCATAGCACAGAAACTAAAACAGGAAACTTAACTATGAAGCTTGGAGACTCATTAAAATAAAATTTCTTAAGAAGCAGCAAGTTAGTTTCTGAGTCTGGCACATCCTCATTTTACAAGGTCCCAGGTTTTGTCTCTGTGTCTAACTCTCTGCCCCTTGGGTGTGCTCCCAGAATGGTGGATAGAGGCAGCATGCATACACACAGCTGGTATCCAGCAAGATTCTTAAGGTCCTTCTATGTGGACTGTGGAAGACATCTGAAACCCAATGTAAGCAGAGGAAAAATTCCGGTATAGGTTCCTTGCAACCTTAGCAGCACTTGGTCCTAACGAACGCTTGAGAGCCACAGGAAACTCACCCGAGGCCCCTCACGAGCCTGGCAAACTCCAGCAGACAGGTGTCAGCAGGCAAACGGAGCTGTCCTTCTGCCAAAGCCAGCTGGCAATCCTCAAATGTGTAGTCGGTTACCGAGACACCCAGGGCCCTGCAAGAGAGGATCCTTTCACCCAGCCTGCCCGTGCTGCTGGTCCTCACCTGGCAGGAGCAGTAACCACATGGCTGCAAGGGAATGTGTGTCAGAGGGCAACCAGGGTGGATACTTCCCAACGGCCTTCAGGGAAGCAATCACTCAAACAGACAGGCCCACACCAAGAGGAAAGCCCAGAGGTCACCAGAGGCACTGGAGGGTACGGGCACCCAGTTCTCAGGTACCAGGTTAACGTGGGCCTCCCCTTGTGCCAGTCTGAGACTATGTAGGGTGTATCCCCACTCCTGGGATCCTGACAGGAGCTCTTTCACCCGTGTGTAGACCAGGACTTCACTGATGTCTCAGTGTGCTACTATTTTAGTCACATAAAGCAATATTTTTAACATATACATTTAGAGAGAAAATTCCTATGAGCACAGACAGAAGTCAAAATAAGAGTGACTTTCAGATGCCAAGAACATGCCCTGCCCAGGACATCTGAAAACAAGGGAGTTCCGCTGTATCACACATGCAGTGAGCACACTGGCTGGCGATGCTCAGACAACCAATGGGACACCTGCAAAACCACTGCAGTACACACACCGAGCACTCAGGTTAGCAGGGAAACCCTCTCAGCTCTGGTCCCAAGGTCCATCATGTGCTGTGAGCCCATCAGACTTCTCTCTAGGTGGACGCCACTGGCGAGGTCTGGCATCCAGCAGATGCTCCAGGCTGTCGTGACACAGCATGTTTTCCCATGGCGTCTCAGGGAACCGGGGTGAGCTGGAAGGGAAAGCCTACTCCTCTAGGTCTAAGGGTATGGACAGCTCTGCTGCTGTGTCATTGAGCTGGATATCAAGAAGCAGGAAAAGCCACTTTTCTCTCTAGGAAGCAGGTCCCTCCTATGGTCTGTCAAAGGGAACTTGGAGGGAATGGGTGAGGGAGCCCCAACAAATCCCCAAATAGGAACTGACATCCCTGCAGTTGGAATGATCCCCAGAGCCATCCAGGATGAGAATTTCACAGGAGCCCTGGGTCCCCAAGGGAAGCAGTGCTGAATGTTGAGTCCCCAGGGGTGGCTATGCAGAATGCCCCATCCCACGGGAGCCCTGTAGTTACACTCCACAATTTGCACTGAGCACGTGTGCTTGACAGCTGTCTCAAACTTCCCTTCCTCAGCACATAGGCTGTCCAGACCTGCAGCTGCTTGTTCCCGCTACCCATCCCACTAATATCATGCATGTCTGTGGTCTGCATAACTGCAATGTGTACATGCTCCCACTAATATCATGCATGTCGGTGGTCTGCATAACTGCAATGTGTGCATTCTCTGCATTCTATCAGTGTAGCACAGGCCCTCAGAGCTAATGGGTCCAGAGGAGCCATACAGAGTCATCCCACGGCCCTCTGCAAGAGACCCAGGTCCTGCCTTAGAATTGACTGCCTACAAAGGCTAAGTCAGATTTCATGAAAAAACTTTTCCCCATATTAAACACCTTTATGGAGGAAAATTCATTACTGGCCAAGGTTGTCCAACAGACTTTCTAAACACCTTATGTTACTGCTATTGCCTTTGGTTGTTCCCAAAGGTAGAGAGTAAGTCCCTGTTGCTAAAGACACCAGGTACTTTGCACACAGAGCCCAGACGCCCAGGTGTAGGCTCTGACTTTAAGCCTTCTTCCTGAAAACTAGCTTTCTTGATACCAGGAAGTATCTTGCAAAAGGAGGGACGTAATCATTAGTCCTACTCAGCTATGAGGTCTATGAACCACAATACTGACTAGCGTGCAACTAAGGGTGTAGTAGTGGTCTTGGTGGCAACTAAAAGCTTCCTAATTGTACTTAAGACCTGCTCAACAAGAGGGAAACCATGTTTGGTACAGTATCAGGATACTGTAGTCATGGATCCTTTACTAAACCAACGTAATCCCTAAATTATATACCCACAGATAAGTAAATGTAGTCCTCAACCCTTATCAAAGAAACTTCTCTTTGCAATTCAGACTACTATAGAAAGCCACTACACCAATTAAAACACAGAATTGTGGAGCCCAGTACCAACTGATGTTTCTACAGCACAACTCCTGCACCAAAGGCTCAGGGATCATCGTGGACGAGGGGCGTCAGGAGGACTGCAAAAGCCAGGAGCAGGGAGGGAGCTTGCTCTAAGACTGTGTCTCTTAGAAATATTAGAGAAGCTACACCCGTGGAACCTCATCAACAATAGCTACCTAAATATGATCTGAGGAAGGACGTCACCAATGGATATGTCAACATGGGTGGGGGTAAGCTCAGGAGGCTTCAACTTTGCACAAGGAACTACTGGCAACCAAAGAATGCCGAGCGAGGGAGAAATAGTTTTCCCAGTAAAAAGCACACGGACTGGTTATCGGGCGCCAATCAGCGTGCCCTGAAAACATACATACTAGTAACATTATAAAGACTAAGCAGGCCGGGCGGTGGTGGCGCACGCCTTTAATCCCAGCACTCGGGAGGCAGAGGCAGGCAGAACTCTGTGAGTTCGAGGCCAGGCTGGACCGACAGCCTCCAAAACAATACAGAGAAACCTTGTCTCATAGAACCAAAAAAAAAAAAAAAAAAAAAAAAAAAAAAGACTAAGCAGGTTGTATCTATGTATTTAGCAACACACACACACACACACACACACACCCCAATTAAAGGAAAAGAGGCCACAAATTTGAAAGAGAGTAAGGTCAGAGGGCACATGGGAGGGTTTGCATGGAGGAAAGGGGAGAAATGATGTGGGTATATTATAATCTCAAAAATATTATCTTACTGAAAAAATTTTCATATATTTCAATCGTGTTTTTACCCCTTCCAGATCCTCCCTACCCACCCAACTCTGTGTTCTTTCTCTCTCCTTCACAGGAGGAGGAGAAACATAAACTTAAAATGAGCTTCTGATAGTAGAAGTCTGGTGCTGCCCCAGCAATGATGCATGATCAAGCATGAAGTACAAGCAAGCAAGCATGAAGTAGGCGATCACCTGGAGTCAGGCTGCAGGCTGCTTCACAGATGAGGCTGAAACGGGGGCGGGGATGTGCATGGGACAGGACACACAACACTCAAGATGCAGGTGCGACGAAATGTGGCTTCAAGAGAATAGTGTGTGTTCTGTACTAACTCCTTAAAATCCCTCTGAATCTGTCCTAAGCAGGCGTTATAATCTGGCAATGATGTGTGGTGGTGATCACTTGCTGAGTTCTAGAAAATCCAATCTTCTCCTTCCCACCCCAAAGCAGATCAAATCGCAGTGGAATATTGGACTGCAGGGATGCCGGTCTGGTTTGAGCATTCCCTTAGTTGGCATGTGCTCAGAGCTGTCTGTGGTGGAGGTGCATGGCACGGCAGGGTAGCAGCCCAGCCCTGTCCTGGGCATATGCCCGTGAAGACAGGTGAGGGGGACGTAGGCTAAGAACCGCTGGGGCCTCATTAGAGCTGCTCTTGGAAAACTCTCCTAGTCCGTGTCAAGAACTGCCCCTCACTCCCAGGTGGGGGACCCCAAAGGTTCTTGGAACTCCTGGAACTTGGCAAAGGCTAGAGTTCAGCTCCACGGTACACAGGCCCTTCAGGGGAAGCAACAAGACTGGCCACTTGGGGGAGCAATGGGGAGCAATCACCGCTATATATGAGGAGGACTCGGGGCCTCGTTTTTTAGTCTATGTATGGGAGACAGGGCTCAGAAGGTGGAAGGGGGGGCACATGGGTAACAAGATTATTGTCTTGACCAGCAGGAACCAGAAAGTGAATACAGTGCTAAAATTCTCTACTGTGCACAAGAGTTACATGGCAAAGCAGCTCACCCTAGGGGGTTAAGCATACAGACACTACACTTCCTCCAGCAGGGGGAGTGAGAGTGCTGGCAGACAGTCCACAGGCTTGAGGTGACTGTGGCCTAAGGCTGACACCTGCCCAGGCCAGTGCATGCCCCAGAAAAAACCCATGATCACTGATGACTATGGCAGGTTTGAAACTTGCGAAATGAAGCAAAGATTAGCCATCTTTTAAATGTTAAACAAGTCAAAACATTATCAGATAAAAGTGGGACACACAAACCCAAGGTCGGGCACACTCCACTGCTAGCGTATGCAGGACCTGCGTGTTCATTCTTGTATAAACCCATTTCCCCAGCACCGCTGGCAGCTGCACACTCACTTGGCCATGACACGCCTCACATTGCTGGCATACAAGGCAGGATTCCTCTTCTCCTCCTCAGAAGGGCAATACACGGGCAGGAACTGAGGACAGAAAAACTGTGTTATCTCTATTAATACAAGACACTGATCCCACCAGTCATCATGAATGGCATACGTGTGACAAAAAAAGACTGGCAAAGCCCTTCCTCTGGAATAGTCTAACTATGCCCATCCATGCTTGCACACTCATAATGTTCATACTGCACATACATGTATCTAGACCCACACGCACATACGTATGCATCATACACATGCACGCGCGTGCGCGTGCGCGCACACACACACACACACACACACACAGCTAACCTGGAGTACCCCCTGTCCCAGGCCATGATGTTCAGTTCCTAGTCACAAGCGCATCTCTATCCCTCAACTACAGTTCTGTGTTCAGGATTACACAGAACAGTACTTGTGCAGTTTCTACACCTGAAGCCCTCCTGGCAGCTAACATCTACTACATCCCTGATAAATCAGCCTAAAAACACAGCATTTAAAATGACTTAGTGGCCCACACAGGTGCCAACTCTACCAGAATGAAATGGCAAAGGCTGTCCCTGACTCCTGTTCCTAAACAGAGGTATTTAGGGATACGGGAGCACCCTGAAAGCCTGTCAGTTCCCACATAAGCTTCCACAGTTACATCTCAGAAATCCCTAAAGTTACAATGATCTCTCACGTTAACACTGGTATCACACACCAGCAATGTGAAGGACACATAAAGCACATTGCAGGACTTGATTTCTCAATGTTTTAAAAGAGAGGCCAGGTCTGAAATAGGCCTGCTCAAAACCACAGGGGTCCCAGGCACAAGACCACATCCCCTCTCAGGCCTGGTCCTGTTCTCTCCTGGCAGCTTACAGAAGAGCCACCAAAACATTCAGAGCAACGGAACCAACACTCTCTGGGCTAGGTTCTTTGTAGATGTCACACTAGCGCACTTGTCCATTTTGTATGGCTCTGCAGTACAGATGGTAAGTGAGCAGACTGTTTCACCAAATATGACTCATCTCTGATTTCAGATGAAGGCCCATCAGAATTCTTTTTTTTTTGAGAAAACAACCAAACCAAAAAACAAAACAAAACAAACAAACCCAAAACCCTAAACCAACCAACCAAACAAACAAACAAAGTACAAACAAAGTAATAGTCACCCAAGTAATGAATGATAGGTTTAGTTTTCTTTGAATTTTTAAAAATCCTGTCCAGGGGCTGAAGATATGATCCAGCACTTAAGAGCACTTGTTGCTCTTGCAGAGGATCCAGAGTTCCGTTCCTGACATCCATATGGTAGCTAAGGGCTACCTGTAACTCTAGTCCTAGAGGATGACAACCTCTCTGGCCTCTGTAGACAATACATACACTTGGTGCACAAAAATACATGCAGGCAAAACATCCATACACACAAAATAAAAGTAATGAACAAATTAATAAAAAAACCCTATGCAAATGTATTTAAATCACACAAAGGACATAAAGCCACAGAGGAAAAGTGACTAGAAAGTTTTTCTAGGACCCTGACAAATGAAAAGATACTCAAGGACAGATATGTAACATCTGTACAGGTTAGATACTGTGTAACTATCTACACAGCTCTTAGTTTACAGTTTTTCAGTGCAATATTGTATGAAACCCTGTGGGCCCGTGTTGGTGGCATGCGCCTTTAATCCCAGCACTCAGGAGGCAGTGGCAGGCGGATCTCTGTGAGTTCGAGGCCAGCCTGGTCTACAGAGTGAGTTCCAGGCAAGCCTCCAAAACAGTACAGAGAAAAACTGTCTCGAAAAACAAACAAACAACAACAATAAAAAGAAACCCTGTGGAACACTATGTGACACTGTATTCATTCTGGGGTAATGTTGTACTATTATATTCCTGCAGACCCCCAGTATAACTCTATGTAACATTGTATCCATACAACTAGGGTTAACATTGTTGTAATACAGATCCTAGTATATATAGCACATTGTATCCATACAGACCCCAATGTAATATTGTGACACTGTATCACACAGCCCCAAGTCTAATACTGTTCAAACACTGCATCATTTCAGACCCCAATGGAACCCTGTAGCTCAAGAACCACAACAGAACTGGCCCCTGGCCAGATACCATGGCCACCCCACCCATACTGCATACTGCCCAAGCTACATAACACTATGTCCACTCACCTCGATTTCCACTTGGTTTTGAAACTGGCACAGAGTGAGCCATAGGATTTTCAACCTTAAAAATAGTGTTGAACAATTTTACAACATGGTTAAAAAGTAAGGCTCCTAATTCTTGTAGCTGAATGACTCCAAATTCTGCCCAGAGCCTCTAGGAGGTCTGCTAGGCAGTGAACCTGGAAGGGGAACCTTCCAAAGTTGAAAGGTCTAAAAAAAGGACAGTATAACTAATAGGATGGTTTTCTTAGCTAGAGATCTCACTTTTCTGGTTATTTTCTTTGGTCTTTGCTTATTCTAGAGAGCCATAATGTTTCCTTTGCCCTCCTGCTTTACAGTCTTGTCTCCAGGATGCCCAGCTCCCTATGTAGGCAGAGCAGACGTCCAGCTTTAAGTCATGCCATGGCTTGTTCTCTTAATTTCCAGGGTCCTGGGTCTTCAGTGCTATTGCCACTACTTGTTTGCCTGAATGGGATTACAGAGTTACCTGGAGTCCCTATCCTAGAAGCCGCATTCTCTTCTCTCTCCCTGACAGTCAGTTACCCCCTAATTCTGAGCCAATCTTTTTTCTGCCCTACATGCCAATCTGAGCACAGGACAAGACACTGGAGCCCAGTTCCAAGTAATCCTTCCAGTCCACCTCCTTCTTCAGAAGTGGGGGTTTGCCTTCACTGCAGGGGCACTTCCCCAGCAAGTACTACAAATACCTAAAAAGGCGAGGGAGGGGCTGGTATCTGATTTCACATCCTCCCGGAAGCCCCTGAGGCTGTTTTGACCCTGGCTGGCTCCTCCTCCCTGCACACAAATGGCAGCTCCAGTATCATGGATGGACTTGACAGCCCCAAGCTTGGCTGCTATAGTTTCTGTTTCTCTTATTCCATGGAGTTGGTAACCACAGTACAACTGACTCCCTGTGTCTGTCCCGGGAGGATAGGGATACCAACTCTACAGGGTGCCCCTCACCTATCACCACCTTAATCCCACTGCCTGTACACAAGTCCCCATCCCCAAACACCTGGTGATGCCAGGTGGGCAGTACTAGGTGTACTAGGTGGGTAAGTTACCTTCCCGTGGGTGCTGGCGTCGAGGAACTTACGTCCCCAGAATCCAGGAGTGTTACATAGCCACACGGGAACACTTAGCTTTTTCACAATGGGTCGACCCTAATTGCTGTCAAGAGTAGTTTTCACATTTGCAAAAGTAACGAGGGCACAGGCGGCCTGTGAATCCACAGAATGAGAGGACAGACAGGATGACACGGTGTCCAACTTACGCTCCAGGTCCTTGCCACGTCCATGTGATGGTGTCCTGGGAGTGAGAAAGCAGATGAATCAATAATATAGCCAGACCACATGAGGGTCATCTTCGTCCAGCCCAGAGATATAGAGCTAGTTTCCTCCCGCATTAACATAGGCAGAGTAAAAGCGCCTTGGGCCCTGGTTCCAGGACCCTGACTAACCCAGCCTCTCAAATGGCCATTTTTTCATCACACCTCTGAGGCTGCCAGTTCTAGCAGTGGCCCACATAGGGTTGGTACCCACTACCCTTCTATCCCAAGGTGTTCTAGTAACTACCGTCTTCCCAACCCTGCTGTAGCACCCATCCACTCTAAGATGCTTCCAGAGGCCCTCAGGCAAGGTCTGCCTCGACCTGATCACATGGTGTCACTGCAGCCTCATTCCAAGGCTGCATCTGTGCACAAATGTCCAAACATGACTACCACAGGCATACTCCTCCCAGGTCAACCCTGGGCTTTGAAGGTGGCCCCTGCCATCTTGGAGACTTGACTACCTCACTGTATGCCCAGAAGGATTTCAGAAACTACCCTTAGCAATTGCACCAAACATTTTCACAGGAGCTAAGCAATACATTTACTGGCTACCTCACATGGCTTCTTTCCTTTGCAATCCTCAACCTACTCTTCCTACCCTGGTTTAGCTCCCTGGGCAGGGTCTATGCTCAGAACTCTGGCAGTGGGAGTGCATTCTGCAGCTACATGGTTGAGGAAGCTCACACAAACCTTAGAAATACGAGCACAGACAAACTTCCTGCTTCTCTGATAACCAACCTTCCAAGGCTCCAGGGGGACCAGTGAGGACTATGGCCTCACCAGGCTGACAAATCAACTCAGAATGAAAACCTCACTCCCACAAATAGGCTGGCAAGCTGCTCTATTCCTGGGTGTGCTGACTCTCAGAAGAGGGCAGGGCCTTCCTCAGGAAACTGACAGGAAATGGACTCTTCCGTGGTTCAGCAGCAATGCATGACAGAGTTATCCAGTCTGTTAGTGTTAGCAACTGATGGTCCAGATGGCCTCCACTGCTTATTCATTTGCCTCAGGTGACCCCATGCTTAAGCAGGCAGACCTGACTTTCTCACAGGCAGGCTGGACCCTATGTCCACGAGTTGCCTATATCGCTGCCATTAGGTTGTAAGCTTAATGGTTTCCTTCCATACTCTGCTGTCATAGGTGACTGCTAGAGACAGGGAGATCTCATTGTGGTAAACACCCCCCACCTTACTATTCCCACCAGAAGCTTACGCCACTAAGAGATGCCACGTGTGCCTAGTACCAACTCAGGGCCCTGGGGCTCACGTTGATGGACTGGGCCATTTCTAACTGTGGAAGCATCAAGGCAGCAAATACCTGCTCCATGAGTCACGGGAGGCTGTGGCTGTGTAACAGGCTGGTCCCGACGCCTCCCAGAGGCTGGGGGAGTATTAAGGACACTTGGGAGAAAGGCCTGGTGGCAAAACCCAGCAGGACCTTCTCTGATGCCTCCCCCATCTGAGCTGAGGTCACCCAGGAGCTCTGGGCCCAACTGCCATGCCTTAGCTTGTTTCTTTAAAACAACTCATTGAGATTTCCAATTGGAACAGAGGAAGTACAACAAAGTTACCCAGTTCCTTACCTACTGCTCAGTCCCTGAATTTTAAAACTGCCCAGAGTGGGCCAGGCTTTGGGGGAGTCTGAGGACCATCTGTGTGGGTGTCACTAAATGCTGGGATGGGTCATGGAGCAGGACACTGCTTCAGGACCTGTGAAAGGTGGAGCTGTGTGTGCCAATGCTGAAACTATTCTAGAACTGTCATGAAAACACCGAGGAGCTAGCTGATCCTTGGGACTCTACCTGCTGAGCCTGCCCCTCCCTCTCTGGGCTGAGGCCGTGTGATGATGCCGACTGCTCTCTTAACTACTGTGCATAGACACAGGACACAGAGACATGGCAATCCAGATACATCCAAAACACCTAACCAGCTCTCAATCCCCCGGAACTCCCCTCGACACGTGTCCCAGAAGAGCATGACTTACCAGTTTGTTTGGGTAGCGTAGCACCACAGGTTGGACAGGAACTCCAGGAATGAATGCACCTGCCAAGGAAAGGGCATGGTCTCACTGCTGGCAACAGGAATCGAGGTAAGGTGGAACCTAGCTGTGGTACTTTTGCTGGCCTCAGTAAACTGAGCTTTTCTGTGCCAGCCTTCCAGGTCAGTGAAGACATTCTTGGGTTCCTGGATTACTTCCTGTACCTCTGCACTGCCCATAAAGACAGGAGCTGCTGTGTGTCAGCACCAACATGAACAGACACAGATGGGAGGTGAGGGTCTCCAGTGTGCTTACAAACCCTGTGCCCATGTGTGACTAGTCTCTGACTGAGCACTGCAGAAATATCACCTGAGAGGCCCCAGGACTGCCCGCCAGTCTCCTCTACTATGTATATACTGGTTATGTATTCCCCGATAAATTGACAAGCCTGGTTTATGAAGTTCTATTCTATTTAAAAAGGCTGTTTGAGCCGGGCATTGGTGGCGCCCGCCTTTAATCCCAGCACTCGGGAGGCAGAGGCAGGCGGATCTCTGTGAGTTCGAGGCCAGCCTGGTCTACAGAGTGAGTTCCAGGACAGCCTCCAAAGCTACAGAGAAACCCTGTCTCGAAAAACCAAAAAAAAAAAAAAAAAAAAAAAAAAAGGCTGTTTGAAGGCCCACACCTCTGAAAACCAAGGTGTCAGGAGCATCCAGACACTGGGGGACAGACATCTGATGAAGCCACTGTTGCTGGCCGGGGCCCTGTGTTCTTCTGGACTAATGCAAGGTCTCATGGAAATCAGCGTGCACCAGTAGTGTGTACCCATTATGAAAGGAAGGTTCTAGAAGGAAGTTCTCTAGCTGTTTCAGACACCCCTCTATTCTTTAGTTCAGGGCCTTGGTGATGGTCTGGATTCAGGATTTCTGTACACCCCTGGAAAATCTGCACACGAAAGTTTCAGTCTCGGAAGCTGTGTGACGTGTGCATCCGAATATGCATGGCCATGGCGGCAAGTGCAGCGTGGGAGAAAGAGATGCCAGGATGGGCTGGCACCCGGCGCCTAAGCAGCAGTAGCAGCAGGGACACCCAGGGGAGGTGATGGCTCTTCCAAGACTCCAGAACGGAGGCATTAAGACCACACAGAGGCTTCACGTGTGTCACCGAGCATGGCAGCTGACTGGATGCTGGTATCTGGGGTGTGAACCATATCTGGGTACCACAGTTAGTCTTGATGGGTAACTGTGGCATACAACTCCCTTACTCCCCATGATATGTGTAGTCTTTGGGGAAGCTCTCCATGTGCCCTCTTTGTGTCTACATTCCTTCTTCTTCAGAGGAAGGCCTGCTGGCTCTGTGAAGTAAGGCTGTCAGACAGTCTCCTGGTGTTCTTTTCAAGGACAGGTAATCCCACCACTATTGAAGAGGACCGGTTCCCTGTCAAGGCTTGAGACTCCCCAGCTCCCTCATAGCTCGTTTATTCTCTTCCCATGGTCTTGGTGACATGGCCAGGTATCATTATGAGGTTCCAAATAAAACGGTTAGGGGCCTTTATAGGCCATACCCAGGGTGGGGTGGGCCATGGACTTTCTCCTACAGCTAGGCCTGTCTTGGCTACCACATACTGCCTTAGCTGCTAAGCCTATTTTAGAAAGAGCAACCCAGGACATACTGAAAGAGAATAGGAGTTCCCTTCCTTGTACTATATCTCCACCCACCAAAGTGTCTACCACTACCTGTGACAAGAAGGGAGGGTTCAGCCATGTGCACATAAGCAGAAAAAAGGATGGCCTGGTGAGATGAAGACTCTGGATTTATCATCCACACTTAAAAGACCACGGAGCTGGAAAACCTCAAAGACAGGGCAGTGTGATGCAGCCCAGAGCAGAATACTGGCAGTTGTACCCAGTCTGACCTGGTCTGTGGGAGATGGTGTGCATACCCATTGCAAAGAGTTTATGAGTCCCACCCACCTCTTAAAAAGCACTAAGAGCTATGGCAGGATCAAGGGGTAAGCCTGTTAATCCTCCCAGGGTATACAGAACTTTAACCAGGAAGAGTCAGGGGTGGACTTTGTGCCCTGTCATCACAATTCTGCTGCTAAAGCCAGGGGCTCAATCCCAATGCTGGGCTTGGGATGTGCCATGAGGGGGTGTCCAGGACGATGGGTCAGTGCTCATGCACATGGAGAGAGAGGGCTGTTCTCCTGTGGCTCTGAAACCATCCTTCAAGGCTTTGCAACAGAAGTGCAAGCTAAAGGCTTCAAGACCTCTACAGTCAGAGGGAGTTGCCAGGGCCCAGGGCACCTTGTATCTCAGAGGGTGAGGATATCTCAGCACATCAGGGCCTCACTGATCAGGACCTCAGAGCTCAGGCAAATGCTACCACCTCATGATAGCCATCGCCTTCCTAGTCTCCTCACCTCCTGCTAACGCTCCAGTTCTTGGCTCAAACACCGAGACTTTCCTGTGACTTCCAGAAATGCTCCTAAGACCTTGTCATAAAAGACAAGGAAGTTTTCTATCATCGACAGATGATATTACTTTAAAACTCATGACTGGTTTCCTCTTTTTGACAAAGAGTAAAAACAAAACCAACAGACAAACAAACAAAACACTACGTACCAGGTTTGAAGGTAATGAGGCAGGTCCTATTTGTACATGTTCCTTCTGGAAAAATCATTATCTTAAAATAGGAAAAAGATAACATTAAACCATAATACTTAAATCCAGAGTCCACAGGAGCCCACCTATCAGTGTGGGTCTTTTCCTTTTCCCCACTACTGACATAATTTTAGACTATGGTTCCTAGAGAGGGGAGGGTGGGTCTTCATGAAGCTCCCCTCGGGGCTGGGGCGGGAGGAGTGAAATGAGACACACGCACAAAGTAACAGCAGCAGCGAAGGACACCATGGCTCTCGGGCACACATACATCCCAGCAGAGAATGGACGCCAAGAGGGAAGCACTGATGAGAGGCCACACAAGGAGCAGGGACGCTGGAGCAACCGGGAAACCGTGCAGCCACCGGGCACAACTAGAGTGAAGACACTCCTGTCCCCACAAGACACGTCAACGGCTGACTCACTGGCCAAGGCAGCATATAACAAACTAAAACTCCCCATGATGAAAAGCACAGCTCATATAGCTTTCAAATCTGAGCCTTGATGGGAAGGTGATCCATTGAGGTGGGCTGGGTGGGGTCAGTGGGCGTGTCCGAAGAGCACAGGTAAGCTCCTTGGAGAGGAGGGAGCAACGTCCGTCCGTCCGTCCGTCCGTCCGTCCGTCCGTCCGTCCGTCCGTCCGTCCGTGTGTGTGTGTGTGTGTGTGTGTGTGTGTGTGGTGGGAGGCATCTGTCACACCTTGCAAGCCAAAGGCCTCCAGAGGCTGCCTGTGGGCGCAGGTACCTAAGTACCAGATCTATCGTGCTTTTCAGAACCACAGACGGGGCATCCTACAAAGCCTCCAGCTTCTGTCTGTTGGCTCAAGTGGGGGAAAAATATCTCAGACTTAAAGGGAGGGGGGGGTGGCTGGGCAAAGGCAGGCCTTATGAATGGAGAGGTAGGAGCCCAAAGAGCCCAACATCGAGCACACTCTCAGATGCACACATTCCCCAAAGACAAAGAGAACTTCAGCACCAGAGATGGACAGGGCAGGTTCTGTGGTTTCCTCTCTTTCTCCCATTCTCAAAGTGGACATCTTTTGGCAGAGCCCCAAAAGCAAGCAAGACTGTTCACCTGAGGCCACTTTCCATCCGACTGTGCTCGTCGCTTGATCTCCTCCACTGTTTTCCTTCGAGAGTCTTGGTCAGACCGGGACACGAACACAGGTCGAATGTACCTTATCAGGGCTGTAGGAGTTGAGATAGCATATCAGCATTCATAGCTTCCAACCGCAGGGTTGGAACAGAGAAGGGCCATAGTCAGCTGAAAACCCCAAACACCTACCTCCCTGGGCCATGCTGATGCCTGGAGGGTGAGGAACCTTGCAGTGAACTCCCACAACCTGTGTGCCCTGGAGGAGCAACAGTCCATAGGACCTTCAGCCAGGACACACAGGACACAATGGGAACCTGACACTACCAAAACACAGACGATCTGCTGTCACTCCATTAGCAGAACAAGGAGATTCAATAAGTACTCCTGGACCCCACTGTGGGTTGAGCTTGCATTCTTGGAATTCAGGGATGAAGCTCTAGCTCCTGGTACCTGGGAATGTGATCCTAATTGGAGATGCTTGCAGACAATCAAGTTCAGATGATATCACCCTAACTGGGCGGCCCTAATCAATGACTCATGTCCTTGTAAGAGAACAGAGGTAAGGGGAGAGAAGGCTGCAGGGCAGGGGAGGGTGTGGTGTGCCTTCAAGTCAGAGAGTACCAAGGACTGCCAGCTGCCACCTGTACTTGGTTGCCAAAGCCCTCCTCGTGGACTTCTAGCTTCCAGGGTGGTAAAAACAAGTTCTTGTTGCTATAAGAGCCCTAGAGATCACGCACAGCCCCAGAGTAATCACCACATCACTGGGTCTCTACATTTGGTCTAGGTTCAGGCAAGTGACCAAAATGTTGGGACCCCCCAAAGTAAGACCACGTTAAAGTAGGGTAGTGCTCAAAAAACTCTGAAGGGGTTTTAATATGAACTACCCTCAGGTAACTATGTTTGGAGGGAAAAAAGGAGCAGGGCCCAGGTTTTAGCTATAGGTTCTTCTTGTAAATCATTTTTGAGACTTGAAAAAACTACTTTGTGGTTCTTCCTAGGAGGTTTTCCAAAAAGCATAGAAAACGATTTTTTAAAAAGGAAGGAAGGGCCGGGTGTTGGCAGAGGCAGGTGGATCTCTGTGAGTTCGAGACCAGCCTGGTCTACCAAGCGAGTTCCAGGACAGCCTCCAAAACAATACAGAGAAACCCTGCCTTGAAAAAAACCAAAAAAAAAAAAAAGGAAGAAAGGAAGGAAGGAAGACAGACACAGACAATCCTTTCAATTTTGTAATAACCCACTGTGCCTCCATAACTCTTCGGAAGAGCCAAACACACAGGGGACAATGACCATGTCCTTTCCAGGCTTGAATTATTTTGCTGTTTTGTCATTTTAGCAGCTGTTTCATCTTTTCCTGTTGACTTCCTGATGCTGCTGAAGTGACGTAGAGAGTAATAAGGAAGAAAAATGATAGAATCTGCCCAGGATGCTGTGAGGGTGACATCACAATCCCGACCTTGTCTGCTTTCCCATAAAACTCCATCATCTTCCCAGAGGTGCTGGGGCTCACCTGGTCTTGTTGCTATTTAGTGTGTTTCACGCAAGTTTTGTGTCTATGATGGTAAAATAAGAAAACTGACTTGAATAGTGGAAGATGCCTTCCGGTCCTTTAGCAGAGGATGGACACAGGGAGGCAAGAAGGGACAAGTGATCATCTGGGAACCTGGGATGTTATCTTTGAGGGTTCCTGGGTAAACCTTCTACCATCAGACAAAATGATTCTGGACCTTGATGGACAAGGTACTCCCAAAGGCAGGAAGGGCAAGCCCACAGCACCCTGACCCCAGGCCACGCTGCGCAAATGTCTGACACAACCCTGGCAGAAGTTCCAACAGGCCTGTGATGACACTGTCTTAGCAACTCACTTCCAAACATCACTTGACTGGTTCAATGAATGAATGAATGAGTACTGACTCATTGGTTTTTGTCAACTTGCCATAAGGCAGGTGGTGATGGATGGCACACATCTTTACTGCCAGCACTCAGGAATCAGAGGCAGGCAGATTTCTGAGTTTGAGGCCAGCCTGGTCTATAGAACGAGTTCCAGGACAGCCAGGACTACACAGAGAAACCCTGTCTTGGAGAGAAAAAAATTCTTTGAAGGGACGTCTGTAGGGCATGTGGGAGTTTTCTTGATTAATGATTATGTGGGAGGGCCTAGCACACTGTTGGGGTAATATAGAACCCCTGGGTTGTATAAGAGCAAGCTGAGAAAACCATGGGGAGCAAGCTGGTAAGCAGCATTCCTCCATGGCTTCTGCCTCCAGATTCCTGTCCTGCTAACTTCCCTCAGTGAGAGACTATTACCTGAAGTGCAAGCTGAAATAAACCCTTTCCTTCCCAGGTTACTTTTGATCATGGGTGTTTTTTTAAAATCACAGCAAGAAAAGCCCTAACCCTAATTAAGATAGACACATAAAGTTGACTCACACACAGAAGGCTGATAATGCAGAGACAGAAAAAGATATGAGGTTGGTCACACTCCTGGCACTGACAGACCTAAAGAGGAAAACCCTGCAGAGTTAGGAGCTGTCTGTCAAGAGGTCAAAAAGAGGGACTGCAAGTTGGGACAAGTCGTTGCCTACCTAAGCCTGAGATAAGAACCTGAGCACACCCTGGGTTATCCAGGGGTGAAGAGGACCCGTAGCTGCATGCCAGGAAAGTACCTAACCTGGCACATTGCCTTCAAAGGAACTCTGGGTAAAGAAGCAACTGGGATGAGCTACATTTGGAACCTAATCAATATTCCTCTCCCTCTAGAGACAGGTGTTGTAATTTAACAAAGGCAGTACGTGAGAGAAAGATGCCATGCAACAGGGTTCAAGCAGAGGATTTTTTTTTAAAGTTAGGGAAAGGGATCATAAAAAGGGGAAAGGAGAGGGGGAAGGCAGGAGTAGTAGGAGAGAGCAGAGAGAGAGACAGAGACAGAGACAGAGAGAAGGAGGGAGGATGGGAGGTGGGCAGGGCTCCTTTAAAAGGGAACATAGTGAATATGCACAGGTGCTGCTCTTATCGGCTGGAGCTGAGGGTGCATCCTGTCAGAACCCCTGTACAGAACAGATGCCTGAATGGGTCTTGATGCTCTAGCCAGGGCTCAAATGATCCTCCTGCCTCAGCTTCTCCAGTGCTGGTACTACAGGCACACATGGCTATACTGAATAATGAACAATTCTGGTAAACCTTCGGCCACCATTCACTCTGTGGACTATCTATAAATGACCAGGAAATGCACAAGCTACAGAAGGAACCTCTGTACACAGTGACAATATCTCTATAAAGCCCAACCACCTCCTGGTGCCTTGCCAGGGGCCACATGCACTGATGGTGAGGGCTTGTGACACTTTCAGGGTCATCAAGGTAAACTGCACATCTACCTTCCAAAAAATTCTTGGAATTCAACCCAACTTTGCAGGCATGTAGAGTATTATCCTTTATTTGACGATCTGACTGATAAATCTGCAGCCTATGACCCAAATAGCTCAGTTTCCCTCCAGGAGCCCTCGTCAAGAAGGGGAGTGACCACACTCTCTCAGAGGTGTTTCGTAACCAACGTCCCTACACTGGCCAGCTCATTTCTGTCTGCAGGATTGGTCATACCACTCATGGGCACAGGGCTACATACAGCCCCTCCTTCTGCCTTCCTGATTGGCGCCTCTGCAAGGTCCCCGCTATCTCGATCAGGGGACTGAGACAGATGTTTGACAGAGATGAGACACTGTCATCTAGTACTCTGTACAAACAGCAAACCCTTAGCCTAGCCCTAATCTAGTCTCTTCACCTCCATATAAGCCAACTTTGTACCAGCACCTGTGGATGGAGGGAATTCATCCAGAGTCCACAAGCCTTAGAGAACACTTAGCTCAGGATACTGACCACTGTGTTGCCTGAACCCACAGTGAAAAATCACATTTCCCATGGAAAGGAATGACCACACCTCTCAGGTGGGAAGCACGTGGGCTGTGGCGGCCATGTTGGCAGTGGACTTAGCCACAGCCAGGTGCCTCTGAAAAGTCACAGGTGTTGAGGAAGGGGGCTGTTGATCTGGGGCTGGGGCTTTTGCTGCCATCTGCTGAGGTTCTAGCCTCCGTGGTCACCTGCTTCCCCTTGGCCATGAGCCATTTCTTCAATGTTTCCATATGCAATGGGGAGAATGCCTGCTCACCAGCAAAAGGAGGAGAGGAAGGTGAGGACATACCCTTAATGCAAACATACCCAAAAGCTCTAGTGCCCTTAGGTAGCTGTGACAAGCATTTCTTCATAATCTGGCTAAGTGTCAGCAGGCTGCTTCTATGCTTTAGCTTAGGGTAGACAGCTGGGTCAGAAGGGTCAGTGCTGGACAGTCCAGAGTGATGGCCCAATCCTTTCTTCTAGCCATCTCCCAGGCAAATAGACCTCAAGATTTCAGAGGTCTCTCACAGAGCAGAAGTCTTGTATGTATAGAGATTGGGCTGCCACATACACTGAACAGCTAGTTTTATGACAACCTGACACAAGCTCAAGCCATTTGTGGAGAGGGTACCTCAATGACAAATGCCACCACTAAACTGGCCTCTGGATCAGTCTATGATGTATTTTTTAATTAAAGATTGATGTGGGAGGGCCCAATCCACTTTTGAGTGGGGCTACCCTTGGACAGGTGCTTCTGGGGTGTATAAAAAACAAATCAAGCTGAGCAATGCATGAAAATCTTGCCAGTAAGCAGTACCCCTTCATGGTCAGATGGGGAAAGACTTCTGTACATGTTTCTCTTATTGGTTGATGAGTAAAACACTGTTGGCCAATAGGGGAGCAAGATAGGCGGGACTAGAAGGCAAGGAGAATTCTGGGAAATGTAGTAAAGAGAAGTCGCCATGTGATCCAGACAGGAAGTGACATAGCAGGCAGTAACAGTATATAAGTAAGAACAAACAGGAAATCACTCTCTCTTCTCTGCAGAGACACTGAGCAGACGTGATATAGACCCCAAAGGATAAGAGGCCCAGACCTTTTCTCTGGTAAGATAAAGCCAGGTGGAAACACATGGATTATTAGAAAGTGCGTGAATAATTAAGCCTGAGCAAGCCAATAAGTAGCCCAAGTTGCCAGCCAACAGCTTATAACTAATATAGTGTCTGTGTGTTTCTCTGGGGCAGAGAAGGGCAGTGGGATCTAGCCGGGAGTTACAATGGTCTCTGCTTCAGTTCTCTGCTTGAGTTTCTGTCCTGACTTCCCTTAGAGATATGCTGTGATGTTTAACTGTAAGCTGAAATAAAGCCTCTCTCCTCCAACTGCTTCTGGTTACAGGGTTTCATCACAGCAACGACAACCTTAACTAAGACACCAGGAGGCCCCTCTGCTCTCAGATGACACTGCCAGGGCCCACACAGTCTGGGAGACACAAAAGTATGCTTCGTAGTGTAAATGAGACTGCTGAGGGGCCATATTCACGAGACCCACGGAGCCACCCTAGAAAATTCGCTCACAGGCAGAGTGCCCAGGCACCAGGGCGAGGCTTCAGAACATAGAACATAGCCTTTCGGCCAATTCCGTGTCTCTTCTTACTTGGGGATATGCATTCACCATGATGTGGGTTCAAAGCTGTGGTTCTTCTGCCACAGGTATCAGGCAGAAATCTCCTCCCTCCCATTACTCTTCAGGGACACCACAGCCACCACAATCACCACAGTACCCAGTAACCACCCCCTAAACCCACGTCATCCACTGAGACGCCTGGGAACCATGAAGGAAGTCAGCCAGGGTGTGAAAAGCAATTGGATATCAACACTGTGTTCTCTCCATGTCTCAACCCTACACCCTGTAAACATGGCCTTTCAGACAAAAGGTCTATGTAGATGAAATTGTGGATCTTAAAATGAGGACATCATGGGTTATCCACTGGCATTGCTCTTAACTAAGACATACACAGAGCCGGGCGTTGGTGGCTCACGCCTTTAATCCCAGCACTCGGGAGGCAGAGGCAGGCGGATCTCTGTGAGTTCGAGGCCAGCCTGGTCTACGAGTTCCAGGACAGCCTCCAAAGCTACAGAGAAACCCTGTCTCGAAAAACCAAAAAAAAAAAAAAAAAAAAAGACATACACAGATGAGGGACAGAGGAAAGCTGGTCATGTGACCAGTCAGGTAGGACAATCTCCCATGGAGCCTCTGGAGGGATCCCCCTCACGCACACTATGAACCCCCCTTGCACACGCTATGACTCCCCCCTCACATACACTACGATCCCTCCCCTTGCTCACACTATGACCTTGGACTTCTGGTTCCTAGAATGAGATAGAAAGGCCTTGTGATGCATCAGGATACCCAGGATTTGAGATCCTATCAGCAGCCCCAAGCCTCTGCTGCTCCTGGTCTGTGGGAGTCACTGGTCCTCAGGAGTAGGCTGCCCAGAAGCTCAGGAGCCCCGAGCTGCTCTGTGATACAAGAAATGTGTGCTTACAAGACAGACCATGGTCGGACAGGCATCTCTGTGCTTGACAGTACTGGAGGATACATGTGTAGGTGCTGATAAATAAAACCCACAAAAGCTCATGCTACAGGGGGGTCACAAGGACAAACAGAGCCCAGCCAGGGCAGGTTTTGTGTCAGCATATAGCTCGAAGGGGCCTGTCACTGGGGAGGCGTCTTTCTCACTCCCAGGGGCTCACCCATTCCCAGGGGCTCATCCACTCGCGTGCTCACTCACTTCCCCAGATTGGGATGTCTCTGCTCTCCGCCTTCATCACAATGGAGGACATGGTCATGGTGACAGGGATGGCATCGAAGTAGGAGGAATGTGGTGCCAGGGTGAGGATGGCAGCCTCAGCAGGCAGGGCCTGCCGCCCCTTCACAGCCACTCGGTGGAAGCCGCCAGCAAACCACATGGTGCGCATGATGGCCTTGAGCAGGAAGTCCACGACCCTGTAAGAGATAGGCAGCATCAGGCTCCCGCCTCTACACAGGCATGCGGGGGCCTGGAGGAACGATGCTGAGGCCTTGGCAGTAGCGCAGGGCGTTGAAGGCTACTGCAGCAACCGCCCTGAGAGGAGAGCGGGTGTGCTTGACTCTGGGACACCGGTGGCCAGTGTTCTCCCACCTCATCTGACACACAACCAGAGGACTTGCCCCACCACACAGCATCCTGCAAGTGAGCACAGCTACTCAGCACTGACAGCAGCTCACACGCCAAGGTCAAAGACACCCACGCTTCAGATGTCAGCAGTTCATGCTAGCACTCAGTCGTGTACGAGCAGACAAACTACCAAAGCACGTAGGACACCATTAGAAGCTGCAGGCTAATCAGCTGAGAGCAAGGGCAGTGCCCTGCCTGGTGATCCTTCCAGACCTCCTTCCCATAGGCCACCCTGCTTTGGAGGCTGACCACGTGAGTCAGTACAGTTTCTGGAAGGACCTAGATGGACACGGATGTAGGGAAAGAAAACTGGCCTAGGCCATGCATCTTGGTTTCCCATGATGTCCTTTTTACACACATGAGAACTCAGGCACTCAAACCTGGTATTCTCCTTCCTACTCTCCCTCAACAAACCCCAGTCACTACTCAGACAACTCCCAGGCCACCCCTGCAATGACATGTAGTATGGGCAGCCCTGGGTGGCGCTTGGTTTCCAGAGGAGGCTCACTGCAGAATGCACCAGGTGACCAAAAGACACAGAAAAAAAAAAAAAAAAAGAGCTCAGAGCCCTGTTCCATGATTTTTCCCAAAGCGCTAACTTCCCCTGGAGGTTCTGTGAGAGGAGCCCCAGCAGATCTAAGTAGTGGCCAATCGCTGTTGGGCACAGAGCCCCTGGAGGAGTCACCTTGGAAAGACCTCTGCTTACCTGGAGGATCGGCAGCCCTTGTAGTTACAGTGAGACAGGGGAGGGGGCAGGTTCAAGGTTCTATTTCTAAGGATGGTGTGACCCAGGGGTATGTACTTCTCAATGCCAGCTGGGTACTTCTAGACGGACTCACAAGAAAAATGTACGAAAGTAAAACGCACAGCTCCCGAGGAGGAGGAGGAGGAGGAGGAGGAGGAGGAGGTCGCAGAGGACAGGAAACTGAAGCTGTGAGGAGGCTGTACTGGAACAGGCGCTGGTCTCGGGAGGGCAAGAGGAAGAGGGGAGATGCAAAGTGAGCACCATCAACCCCGTCTTGTTGACAACAATACCCTTCTGCCCTCACAGGGAAAGATGGAGACAGCTGGAGGCGGGGCGAGTACGGGGAGGGGGTGGGAAAAGAGCTGAGCCGAACAGATGGCCCCCGCCAGCTTACCCGTAAGGGCTGGGTGCCCCAGGCTGATGGTGTGAGTGGAGACAGACCTTGTGGGCTCAGTGTAGGTGAAGACCCTCATGGGGCTGGTATTGTCACAGGGGCAAGGAGGACAGTGAGCTCAGAGCAAGGTCGGAGGTCAAGTAAAAGTCTGGAAAGAAAGCTACAGAGACATCAAGGAGAAGAGGGATGGACCATGAGCTCAGCAGCTGCTCGGTGCTGAAGAAGACCTGGGGCTCTGGGCGCAGGCTGAGGGGAGGATTCCAAAGGGAAGCAGTTTGCTTCCACACACAGGAGCACGAGCCTCAGGACAGTAGACCTGCACCCTCCAGGAGGGCATGCACACTATATATTCAGCCAGCCAAGGGGGAACAAGCTGGTTGTCAGTAGCTCATCAAGTCTGAGTTCCTCTTGCAAATTCCTTCTGGGAAGAGAACCTGACATTCCAGAAAGGCTTCAACAACAGCAGCAAAACAAAAGAGCAGACACCCCAGGATCTGGATGCCCCAGGAGGTAAGTACTACTCCACAGTGTGGCCTGACTCTGGGGCATGGAGCACTGAGGCTGAATTTCTGCCACAAGAAAGAAACAGGGACAGTCAAACGGCAAGAGGAAGAACAAAGGCTACAGTCCAAATGCAAAGCAGAGAATGCGTGCATAAAGACTTTAAATCATGGGGTGAGGTTGTGCTTCTGCAGACAGAGGAAGTCATATTTATACCCAGGATGTGGACTCCTCTCTGAGGGTAGGGGGTTAGATACTCAGTCCTTCAATCTCACGTATTAACCTCCTAACCCAGGAACGGAGTCTCGAGGAGCCCTCAGGACCAGCAGCTGGAGGACCTTGACGGTTACCTGCCTGGCCCACCCCTGGACTTGTAGGGGCCAGTACTACCAAAAGGCAGCAGCATGATTTTCACGACACTGTACTTCGAAAGTGACTTAAAATAAGCATCCTTTGTAAAACTGTGTCATTCACCGAAAGCCTGAGATTTTTAAGGATGTCTGAATGCCACCAACTTCATCCAGAAAAAAAAAGTCGTCTTTAACATCAATCTGTTCACAACAGCTCTGCTGTGCGAACGTAACAGTCTGGGTCTGAATGAATCTGCTGTTGTAACTCAGCAGAGCCTCGACGGCTCTGTAGCCAGTTATTTTAAACCCGGCTTCTTCTTAATCCTGCGCCACTCTAAGGCTCCTTATTACTACATCTCCTTTCAGGGGTCAGAAGCATCCTCGAGAGACCAGGCCACAAATCCACTCAGTTCCCACAGGCACTGAATGAAGGTGTCCAGGGCTTCAAGAGGCACAGCAAGGCACATGACACTTTCAGCATATGCGCACATGCTCATCTACATGCACACTCTCATCTTCATTCAAAAATGTACACTCCAACAGGTGTGCACACACACACACACACTTTTACCTGTGTATGCTCATACATACACATGTCAACAAATACAAATACACGTACTCCAGTACCTCCACACATATCCATTCTCTCATCTAAATGCACACTCCAAAAGACACACACACATGCATGTGTGTACATTCATCTATGTGCATGCTTCACATACACACACTCATATACATGCATGCACACGTACCACTATACACATATATGCTCAGGCATACACACATTGCTCTCTCGCACACAGAATGACATGTACCCTGAGCTGACAAAGACATACCAAACTCGAAGGAAACCGTGGCTGTGTAAGAAATCTCAGCCTCTCTCTCACTCACTCCCTCACTCACTCACTCACTCGCCCACTCACTCACATGAAACAGTACTTGCATCACGTTTGTGCAGTGAAGGAAGCTGTTGTGAACAGACTGAGTGACTTGGACACAGGGACAGAGCTGTTGCAAACAGTCTGTTGTGGTTATGGCCCTTTGTAGCTTGCTGAAGCCCATGGAGTGTGTGGGCACATAGGAGAGTCTCAGAGGAGCATGGAGGCCAGGAACACAGCCCGGGTCAGTCACTGTGAAGATGGTCCTGCTGCTCAGAGACTCCGAACTGGTGTGGGGAAGAATCAGGAGGCATGTAAAACAACAGCAGAACTTTAAATCCACCCAAGCCTGCTTCCCAGTGGAACTACTGCACTCAGGAAGTTCAAAGGCAGGATGATCTGGTTTGGTCTAGATTTGCAGTGCTTGGTTTTATTTCATGCCAGTTTCATATGTTATGGGTTTTTTTTTTTACGCTTTTAAAGGATGTCACGATAAAGCATGCTGTTCTAAGAGGATTATGAAATCTCAGACAAATGAAGAACGGAGAGCAAGCAACAACTTCACAGAGGACTGGCCTCACTCAACGCCCACACTGGATGAGGATCAGCACCTGATGATCTGACACCCAGAGAGACGAAGTTTAGACGAGGTTCTCTCTTGCCTCTCTCCTGAACAAACATCCTGTGCATCAAAGAAAAGAAAGGCTGGAGGGTCCAGGTGCATACAGCCCGCAGAGCACCAGATAGTGACATTTTAGGCTTTGGGGCCACAGAGTCCCTTGCACCCACACAATTCAGCTCCCTGAAAAAGTAGCCCCGGGGGTGGCCATGTTCCGGGAAAAGGTTACTTGCACAGCAGCCAAGCTGGCCTGTAGGCCTTTCTGCCAGTATCTCCAGCAAGAATTTGTCTTTCTGAGCTAGTGAAGGGAGCTCTAGAGATAACAGCAGAGCACTCTCAGAGTGCTGGCTAAGGCACCTGTGACAGGTAGAAAGACACAAGAAACACGTAAAGTGTCTACAGCATTGGCTGTGTTCAAAATATGTGCATCTCCAGACAGCTGAGGTTCATTCATATCTAATACTTAAAGGCAAGAGCCAGTTTGGGTCTAAGAAAGACTCAGCCTACAGTGACAGTGTCCAACACTCAGGAAGCCTGGACTGGATCAAGGTCCTCACTAGGGCAGGACTGTCTGGATCCAGCTAGTCAGAGCTTCAGCTTTGTCAAGTTTGGTCAGAAAGTGGTTATCAGATCACTGGACTTAAAAGAGTGCAGGCTTGTCTACTTTCAGTGACCCAGGTGGACAAGGTGTGTCAACTGTGACCTGCCACTCAAAAGGTGGAAGATATGCTCCCTCCCCTGACCACAGCACCCATTCTGTGGGGGTTGAGGCAGGGACCCATGTCACTGTGGTGCTGGGCCAACTTAGCCCAAGAGCTATCCACGCAGAATACATTCCCCAACTCCCACCAGCAGATCTAGAATTGGGTGAAGGTGGCCTGGGAGCTCTGGTTTTAGTCTTCAGGCCATCAAGAGACGGAAGAGATTTTAGAATACAGGAGGCCATGGTGGTGGGGGCATCTCTGCGCTCTGGGACATGGGTACAGCAGCTCCATGACCCATAGAGCCCCAAAGATGAAGCCTAAAAATACCAGAGGAAGAGACAGGCAGGGGACAAGCTAGTTTCAAACAAAGCAGCGAGAAGACAGCACTGGTCCCTGGTGAACAGGTCCCAGTAATAAAGTCAGGCTTAGAAAGAGAGAGACAGGTCCACACTGACTGAGCAGTAACACTGTGACATCGAATATCTCATGCACACACACACACACACACACACACACACACGCACGCACGCACGCACGCACGCACGCACGCACGCACGCACGCACGCACACAGACACATGTCAGTCAAAAGAGCTACTTACTTCCTCCACAAGGCCATGGGCTGCTCTGGCTCCTTATCAGGCGGTCCCAGGGAGGCCACGAGTGCAAGGGGCCAGGCCAGCAGCATCATGAAAGCAGCAAACAGGAGCCGGATGGGGAACAGCGTTAACGTCATAAAAGCCACCTGGAAGACAGGTGTTACTTTTTAAGCACTCCTGTTTGAGAACGTGTTGGAGCTGTCTGCAGCTTGGGGTCCTGCAGAGCCGGGTCCCAGCTAGCAAGTACACTGCCATCACTGTGGCCCCATCCTCCCGCTCCCGACTAAAGGCACTTGGGATATCTTGGGAACAACAAGGCACAGCTTGATTGGCACACTCATGATGGGGGATGGTCTTCTGTATACATGTTTCTCTTATTGGTTGACAAAACACTGATTGGCCAGTAGTGGCAGGAAGACAGGCAGGGCTAGGAGACAAGGAGGATGCTGGGGAGAGAGAGGCAGAGAGGCTGGGAGATGCCATGCTGCCGAAGAACTAACATGCCGGATTAGGGGTGAGCCACAGCCTGTGGCAATACACAGATTAATAGAAATGGGTTAATAATTAAGACAGAGCTAGCCAATAAGAAGACTGAGGCACTGGCCAACAGTTTTATAATTAATATAGCGTCCACGTGTTTATTTGGGGCTAAGCGGCTGTGGGAACAGACGGGACGGAAACTTCCATCATCAAATGGCAGTCAACGTGGGGCATGTACCCATGACCCCGAGATTAAGAGCTGTGGGGCAGAAACCTCCATCATCACCCTCATCTCTACTCTGACACTATATCCCACAGAGGAACTGGCACCCAAAGCTGGAGCCAGACTTCCAGGCCTTGCTCAACAAATAATCATCATACCTTCCCACCTCTCCCTGAAATCATTTAGGTGGGGCTGGGGAGATATGTCAGTCTATAGAGTGCTTTCTGTAAGAAGCTGAGGACCTGAATTCAACCCCAGAACACAAGTAAGAAAGCCAGGTGTGGTAGCACAATTGTAAGATCCTAGCACTTGGGATTGCTGGGACCCTGGGGCTGGCTCACTGGCCGGCCAGCCTAGCCTACTCGGTGAGTTCCAGACCAGTAAGAAACCCTGTCTCAAAGCAAGGCAGATGGTGCCTAGGGAATCCCCATCTGAGACTCACCTCTGTGTTCGACACGCACATGTGCACATACACAAATTGTTGATGTGCACAGAGATAGCACTTGCAGTCTTAAATATTGGTGAGGGAGCTGAGAGGAGTCGCAAGACAAGAGAGCAGAGGAATAAGGACAGCTCTCCAGGTTGGCAGGAGAGCCAGAGCCCAAGGGAGGTACGGCTCACTAAGCAGTGCTCACCTCGGAGCAGCAGGAGGCTACAGGACCAGGCGGCTGCCTGTTGCTCTGCATTTGGAAGACATGTGGTGGGCAGTTCAGCTCTGTGGGGCAGAGCCAAATGCTGCATTAATGGAAGACATTTTTCACAGCCCCGGCAATCAGTGTGGGCTTGACACTGAGGATGAATCCACACTCACACCTTTTAAAGGCCCAACAGTCACTTGTGGCCCAAGGGCAGGGCAAGATCCAGGTACCAACGTCTACTCTAACACAGAGTTCCTTCCCTGGGACAATAATTACATAGGACATCTCGTAGTGATGACCTCCCCTGTCCCACAGAAGCCTGTAAGAATATCATCAACCACCCTGCCTACCTCTGTTGGGACATGATACTGGTTCTTTGCAACAAGCTAAAGATCCGTGATTCCTCCAATGTCAGATTCCTGCTCACAATACTAGGAAATAACACGCTGGGACTTGCCTTAGGGGTGCCGGGAAGCCACCTGTCAGGGCTCGTGTTAGGGGTGCGGGGCTTGCTGGTAGCTGGCCTGGATCAACTCTTGACTGGTTTCCAGGGGAGACACCTGTTATCCCCGCCCCACAAACCCTGTGCTGTTCCAACTGCCCACTTCCCACTGACATCTCTGGCTACCTGGCTGCAGCTTCCAAGTCTCGAGGGTCCCAGCTTTGCAAACTCTGTTTTTCTCTGTGGTGATAATTTTGTTCTGCTATAACAAAGCTTGCCTAAAGATCAGAGAGTAGAGTTAACCACACTAGTTAGCAATAGAGACCAGGGAGTAGTGGTGCACACCTTTAATCCCAATGCTCAGGAGACAGAGGCAGATGGAACTCTGTGAGTTCAAGGCCACCCTGGGCTACACGAGACTGAATCTGTCTAAAAGAGAAACAGAGTTCACACAAAAGTGATGCCAACACTCGGGATCACACTCCTTTAATCCCAGCACTAGGGAGGTGGAGACGGGTGATATGGCTGTGCGGAGAGAGGAATATAAGGAGGGAAGAGACAGGAGAGTAGACGCAGTCAGGTTTCATAGAGACAGCAGTCAGTGTGAGGATGCAGTCTGAGGACAGGATCGCCCCTTTGGTCTGAGCGTTGGTAGAGGTAAGAACTCTAGTGACTCGATGCTCTGCGTCTCTGATCCTTCAGCTTTCACCCAGACAGTTGACTCTGAGTTTTTATCATGAAGAACAATTAGAATCCGTGCTACATTTCTCCCTGGGTTAATCTTGTTTGTTCTCCATGAGGAGTTTTCCTAGAAGCCCTTAGCAGGCTTCGCAACAATGCCAAACTTGAGAGTTGAAGAGGTAGTCTCTGCGGCACTGTTTCAACATGCGGGGTGGCTGTGTGAGCTGGGGAGGAAGCCCTCTGCACCGGGGTACTGCACAGGAGGGGAGCAGACAGCCCTCTGCACCGGGGTGCTGCACAGGAGGGGAGCAGACAGCCCTCTGCACCGGGGTGCTGCACAGGAGGGGAGCAGACAGCCCTCTGCAGCGCTGCAGTGCAGTGTGTGGGGGGGTGCATGTAGTAGGAAGGCAGCTTGCTGTGGCTGTACAGCACACTGGGGAGGGTCGAGAGGCCTCGAGTGTCAGGATCAGCTTCCTGTGTACTCTGCCTCCACCTTCACTCAGCGCTAGTTTTCCTGCTTTTGTCTGTATCCCAGGGAGCAGGGAACCCTTCCCCAGGTAAGCAAGGCAGGAGTGATGGGTGATGGGGGAAGTCCTACTGTATATATGTTCTCTTACTGGCTGATGAGTAAAACACTATTTGGCTAGTGGCCAATAGGGCAGCAAGATAGGCGGGTCTAAGAGATGAGGAGAATTCTGGGAAGTGTGGCCAGACAGTTACCATGCTGCTGGAGGAGTAACACCATGCTGGGCATTACCAGGTAAGCCACAGCCTCATGGTGATACATAGATTGATAGAAATGGGTTAATAATTAAGACAGAGCTAGTCAATGAGAAGCCCTGGTCATCGGCCAACAGCTTTATAACTAATATAGCATCTGAGTGTTCATTTGGGGCTGACGAGGCTGTGGGACCCGGCTGGCGGGAAAGAGTGTTCGTAACAGAAGGGGCCTGCCACAGTCCTAGAACCTTCTAGAACTTACTACTGTACCTTCTGCCCACATCTCCTGACATCTCCACAGGCTACCAAATTCATGCAGACTCAGCCTATCCACTGGTCTCTACTTCATCAGTGGCCACCCTCGTTCAAACTGATCTGAACAGACCAGGGGACCACAGACATAAGAGAGGCCAAGGTTTCTGAGTCCCAACAAAGGAAACAGCTAGCCAGGAGGCTATGGCACCAGAGTAGCTGAATCTGGAGGTGACTGTATGGAATGTAGGAAGGAGAAGCAAAGCTCTAGGCAGCTACAAGAAACATTCTTAGAAAAGCAGGCTACACTGAAGAGCAACAGAGCATCCGACAACTTTCCAGACACCTTGCCTTCCAGGTGTGGGCGGCCACTGCCAGGACAGGGCTTGTCTCTCTACCAAAGCCACACGGTACCCTTTGTTGCTGCAGCTTATAAGATAGAGAGCTCTGTCTCTATCGTGAACAGAGTGTGCTAGAGATGCTGGGAGTGAGACAGGAGTCCACTCTCCACAGCCACGAGGCCCCAGTGCCATGCTGGATGTCATGTAATGCGCGTGGAAAGGCCTGCGGAGTCCATTTTACCAAAACCACATGCAGAATATCTGTCCACCACAGGAAGTGAGGTAGCACGTGGCAGACTGGATACCCTGCAGGACCTGGCCAGGGAAGAGCTGGTCAAGAGTATGAATGAAGGGACAGACTGGTACAGGCTACAGGACAGACAAAAGAGGAGAGAGGTGACAGTAAAGGACTCATCTATGCAGACGGTGACAACGGGGCTGGCTCAAGGTTGCAAACTCCAAGAAAATTCCATGAACACAGAAGGTGTAGACCACCGACGCTGGGACCCACAGCCCCACCTCCCTGAGTCCAGCTGTGGGGAGTGAAGACTACGTCACTATAAGAAGCCACACACCACTCTCAAAGGTGCCAGGCCAAGCAAACTATGTGGTTATCTTGCCCGTGAAACAGAAGTGGGTATTTGCACCACAGTTCAGTAAGGAATTACACTGGCTTGGGGCTGTGTTAACTTCAATTGCCCCCTGAAGGTTGATTACAACAAACCAACCAATTAAGAGACATATAGTCTAGACGGATAGGCACTGGTATACACACACAGTCCTTCCATCACAGGACACAGTCTGAATTAGATTTTGAGGGACCCATTAGGAGGTCTCATTCTGGCTCCTTAGAAAAATCAACCAATGGTCACAGTAAGACACTCTCATGAGCAGTCGTTCCTGGAAGGTTGTTTGAAAACTCCCACCTTTGTCTAGGACTTAGATATAGGCCAATCCAGGTTGCTGGCCAAGGTCCCATTCTGTCCCTGCCCTAGGCTGGTACCACAATGACCCAGAACTACTGGCAGAGGGTGTCCCTGCACTCCGGTGGTGGTCATTCTCTCTGCCTCACTGTCCAGTCTTTGGGCAAAGCCCCTTCCACACACTCAGTCTCCAAAGTCCCAGAGCTTTGACCATCTCCAGACTTGAGAGTCAGTCTCTCAGTCTCCCTCTCTCTCTGTCTCTCTCTCTCCTCTCTCTCTCTCTCTGTCTCTCTGTCTCTCTGTCTCTGTCTCTCTGTCTCTCTGTCTCTCTGTCTCTCTGTCTCTCTCTCTCTCTCTCTCTCTCTCTCTCTCTCTCTCTCTCTCCCTACCAGGGATGTGCCAGGTCTATTAAGGGGTCACTATCCACCTGAGAGGGCAACTTCTGT